CGCTGGCAGTAGGCGCAGCAGGACGGGTGGGTGCAGCGCTGCGCCCACTGTGCCGACTGGCTGTGGGCGCAGGCTTCTGGGTGGGCGCCCGCGCTGTCTTTGCCCTGGCCGAGGACCTGACAGGCCACTGCTATGACCCGGTGCCCGGTGGGCGGTTGGTGAACGCGCTGCCCTCCAAGGCAGCCTGCAGCGCAGGTGGGCACCGCTGGACTGGCTTTGCCCCCTCGGCGCCTGCCTTCCTGCTCACCTTCTGCCCACTGCTGGTGCTGGAGGAGGCAGGCGTGTTTGGGCGCTGCCTGGCACGGGGACTGCGGGCGGAGGCCGCACTCCATGCCCTCTTCCTATTCAATGTGGCACTGCTGGTACTGTGGCCAGCCCTGCTGGTGGCCACGCTGCTGTGGCAGCCGCCCTATGCCCCCCATGCTGCTGGTACTGCCACTGCCACCCTCTGCTGGGCCCTGGCCTACCGTGGCTGGTACCGCTGCCGCTGGTCCCCTGGCCGCCCTGGCGCTGGCCTCTTCCCCCTGGCCGCCGAGTGCACCTGAGGGATCCTGGCATGTGGGGTGGGGAGGGGGGTGGGGTGCAGGGGACCTGGGTATCCAGTAGAAAGAGCGCATGGGGTGGCCTCTGCGGTACATGCAGAGATGGGAGGGGGTGGGAAATCTCAGTGTCTAGAGAACAGCTGGAGAAGATGGGTGATGCCAACCTTGGTGTCTGGGAGAAGGTGGGAGGTGAGAATCCGGGTGCTCGGGGGGAGAGGGTGAGGCCATCTCTGGGCAATGTGTGGAAATGCAAACATCTGGGAGGAGGCCACCTCTGGAGAACATCTGGAGAAGGTGGGAACCCAGGCATCTGGGGTGGGCCAGGCCTGGCGAACACCTGGAGAAGCTCTGCACAGCAATGGGCAATGGACTCATCCCAAGCTCAGTCAGGAACCCAGGCATCCAGGAGAGGGGAAATCAGCTGGAGCGTACTGTGCAGGGGCGTCTCCCCCTGCCGTGGAGTGTGGACTTGTCTGGGCTGAGGAACCCCAGCGTCTGGGACAGCCTGCCCCCATCCATCGCTAGGAGACGACGGGTCCACGTGTCCTCAGCACCTTCTGGGGCCAACAGGTGTGGAGAAGGGACCCAAACGTCTGGGAGACCACCAGTCAGTTGATGCCAGACTACTTCTGTCATGCGTGCAGCTTGTCCCCACCTTTGGATGTGGGATGGGAACTCGGTCGTTCAGGAGAGCCAGGGGCACCAGCTGGAGAAGGGCAGGGTCCCCGTCTGCCCCAGCAGCGATGTGGGGTGTAGCCCCAGGTGGCCAAGCAGCTGCCCAGGCTGAGAACTGAGGTGCTGGGGCACAAATAAAGGTGGCCTCTGAGTCTGGCGTTGCCTGCCTGGTGTTTGAAGTGGGGCCGGGGGGGGCACCCAGGTGCCTGGGGGAAGAGTGGAGGGGCTTCCAGTGGAGGGGAACCAATGGGAGAGGGGGGCCCAGGGGTCTGGGAGGGGGAGAGCCTGAAAACCCAGGCATCAGAGACCAGTCTGACTCACCCCCACTGAGGTCACTGCTGGGGAAAGCTCACAGCCCTTGTCTCGCCCCACCCTGAGGGCACTGGTGGGGGAAGGTTGCAGTCCTGCCACCCCTCCTCCCCCACCACCAATGACAGCACTGCTGGGGGAAGCTCACAGTCACCCCCCCCATCCTGAGGGCACTGCTGAAGGAAGCTTGCAGCCTTTGGCTGCCGTCCAAGACCGGAAATCCCCGGCCTGCTGCTTTCGATTTCACTTGTCACGCTCACTGCTGCGGCACCACGCGCCCGTGCCTGGACTGGCCCCACGCCCCCCCCCGGTGCCCCCCGGCCATGGTGGGAGCCCCCAAGACCCCCTGCTGGAGCTGGAGGGGCTGTTGCTGGGGAAGGCAGCACAGGCCGGGCTGGGGGGAGTTTTGGGGGGGCCCTGGTGACCCCTCCCATTGTGCTCTACCCAGGTGGATGCCTTCCGCAGCCAGCTGTGTGCTGAGGTGAGATGCTGCAAGCTTCCCCTAGCAGTGCCCTTGGGGCTGGGGGAGGGGCAGGGGCTGCAAGCTTCTGCCAACACTGCCCTTGAGATGGTGGGGCAGGGGATGTGAGCTTCCCCCAGCAGTGCCCTCAGGGTGTGGGGGGCAGCAGTGGCTGTGAGCTTCCCCCAATGGTCCCCTCAGGACACAGGGGGTGGGCAGGGGCTGTGAGCTTCCTCCAGCAGTGCCCATAAGGTAGAGGGGCAGAGGCTGTGAGCTTCCCCCAGCAGTGCCCTCAGG